AGAAAAAAAAAGTCATCCATGAAAACAACTTCATAAGCAAACAAGAATTAGCTTTTTATGTTTACCTGTCATGCGGGAATGCCCTCTGCAATCCAGTGGATTTGTTAGGCTGTAGAGATAGTGTCCCAGGTGCACACAGCAGAAATGAAGGCTGGACAGTAGGGCCTTCAGGGCTTTAGCTAAGAAAGGACAGTTTAAAAGTGGTGGTACAGGGAGCTACTATGGTCTTTCTGGATATAGGCTGTCTAACACCCCCAAGGTGTTCAGGAAATGCTGCCTTTAAGTACAGTGGTAGATGCTTCACTGACTGCTTCAAATTCCAGGTCCTGAAATCGATCCTTTTTGGTACGTGGGCCGTGGCGTTCGCCCCATTGGTCGGTTTGGGAAGAGGCAGCTGAGAAGCAGCCGTGGCAGCCTGAGTCCCGTCAGCAGACACCTGGATTTCATCCTCAATGCTTTGTGGGAGCAAAAAGTGTCGGACACGGAAGACCATGGCTGGTGATCTCTGTTCCCCAAGGTGGTGACCCAACATCTGTTCTTTGAATTGCACCCTCGCCTGCACCTCAGACCTCCAGTTCTGCTTTTGCCTAGCAGTCCCACACTGCTCTTTCTGCTCCTTGTGCAAGTTCCTTCAGAAAGAAGGTAAAAGACAATGCATGGACACTAGCACCAAGTGCCACCATAGCTTACAAAAATGCTTCTTCACCTTGCACCCCCACCAATCTCCTGATGCTGTTCACAGTAACCATAGGTTTATCCAAAAACCACACAGCTTTTGTGCTGGGATTTAAACTCTGCAGTGTTAAGTGTATTATGAAATCTTCCTGTCACATTTCAAAGTCAATGGCTGTTTATATGTAAAAATAAAAAGCAATGGTTGGAAGAAAGAAAAAAGGCTCTCACTAATTTTTAATGTACCTGCATTAATGGCGTGAAATCCTGGTGCTCTGTGTGTAGTTTTATATAGATTGTTAGCATCTGCTTGTAGGACTGTAGCCCTGAACTACCCACTGGCCCCTCATGATTCTTCCTGTACGGAACAAAAAGGAGCTCCTAGCAAAGATAAGTATTTCTTCCCGGCTGAAGAAAAAAAAAAAAAAGGCTAATTAAACTCTTCAGAGCAGTTTTGTGCCTACTGCACGTAGTCATGCACCGTTATCCAAAACACGTAGGGGCCTAAACTCGCTGACTCCCTTTAAAACAGTGTAGTTGTTCGTAAGTGTGCCATCTGATCAAGCCAAAGCCACTCTTTGAGGATCACAAGCCATGTACCATCTACTACATTAGTCCACATCAGTAAGCCTGGGGTTGTGGCTCAATACTCATGTTTGCTATGGTAATTAACTTTGTTATATTAAATTTATAAGAAGTATTATTTACAATATGTTCCATCTTGATTAATAACTACTACCAGCAATAACATTCAAATGCAGTTTAATCTATGGCTTATATCCAAAAAAGATACTTTATAATTTAGCTAATGACTGATGGTTAAATCCAGGCCATGAATCATTCTGCAAAAGACAAATTAGAATGAATTTGCATTCCTGGTTGTGCTTTGTAAGAATTACTACTAAAATTTAACAGTGGTTGAATTAATCATTGCAGATAATTTAACCCCTTTTTTCTCTTTGCAAATGGTCTGTCAGTAAGGGGTGGATTTTTATTATTATAAGGTAGTTACTACTATTTATAACACAACATATCTGCTGATCCAAAGTGTTGCTTAAAATATGCTGGTTTAAATGAACGCCCTCATGGTGAAATAAATATGCTGATAAAGAAATATTTTGATCAGCATTCAGCGCACGGGACTTTGGAAATACTAGACTAAGATCACCAGGAGGGGTCTTGCTCAGTTTGTCATTTTGCAGCAATTCCAGTGAGAGTTACAGAAATTCTGCCTGAGAAATTCTGTTTGAGGTGGTATTTTGCCCAACAGACTCGACAGTTTAGAGAAGATTAACCATCAAATGTTCCTAACAGCATTTCTCCCACCCCAGCCCCTGAACAGAGTGCGTTAACGTGTGTCCTCCCCTCAGCTAACCAAGGCAATTCTGCAGAGCTGCCCATCTCCTGGGTTTAATGGGGTCACTTGTGGACTGGCAGTACCTGGGCACTGCGTGCGGCAGCGTGTTCTGCACGCTTCCTGGCCGAAGCGCACATAAATCCAAACAACAGAGAAGAACTTTTGGGTTTTCTTTATGAATCAAGTCCTTGAAAAGGCATTCTTTTCATAAATCGCTTTTACTCTTTTATAATTATTCTTGACAATAATTCTTGGTGAGTATGCAGATAACAACAACAAGGCAAGCTTAATATTCACTCAGACTTAATCAAATAGATCATATAGTCTTCATTTTACCCATTAAAATATTTTCATTTATAAAAATTAATCTAAATATAAATATTAACACTAAAGATTGAAATCACTTGATGACAAAATAATTCTTTGTGTGCTATAACATATGCTTTTATGATTTCTTTAAAACAGTAAATTATATCTTTGCACATATTTGGCACAATAAACATTTGTAAAAATTCAAATGCCTTATAGCAGATGGGATTTTTTTTCCTTTTTTTTTTTTTTTTGCAATGCCTACACAGTACACATTTTTTTGTCAAAGAAGACTGAATATTTTAACATTGTAACACAATAATAGTTGCTTTTCATGCCTCTGAAGGAAAACAACCTATTCCAAACTTTGTTGGCTTATTTAAATCACAGTAACAGAACAAAAGCCAAAGAGTTATTCTATTAAAATTAGTAATTTCTGTATTGATATTACATACACAATATTAATTATTTATTAGACGAATATGTAGACCAACCACCATTAATGACATTTCATAACACGTGTACCTGCATAAACCAGAACCTGGGAATGTACTGTATACACACACGAGAACAGTCAAGGAAGGAGGAGGAGACTGGATAACACAAAAATTACTAGGCATCCTACTCTGTTTAATCTCCTTTACTGGATTGCATATATAAATAAAATCTATTTGTTTTATATATATATTTATATATTAAACAGAGTGGGCCAAATTCTGCCCTCACATCTGTGAAACCAATTTCAGAGAACTAGTATTGTGTGAGAGTAAAAGAAGTCATAATTTCACCCAGAATGAAATTATACATTGGGTCAGATCTTGGGCAGATGGACATTCCTTGAAGGGATGGTGCGATGCTTACGTATTCTAGGTGGGAAGATGGTTGTATTTATCCCGAAGGTTCCTTACATGCAGCTGGACATCAGAGTACTGACAAGCCAGATGTCAAATGTGGGTGGCAGATTTGCAACTGACACTGTTTTTCCAACTGTCCCATCCAGCCGTTCCTCACCTTCCTCACCTGGCCCCCCAAATCCAGCCAGGAAATTTGCCCAGTTTTGCACCAATTTGCCCAACCACAGTCATTTCATGGCCTGGTGTCCCAGGGGACTGCTTTCCTGCCACACAGCAGGCAATGTGTGGCACTTTGCTAGTGGGTGTTCACCGGGATGCCAGCAAAAGGAGCAGCTCTCCTCCTTCCCTGGTACCACTGCTCTCGGGAGAGCTCACCACTCCTTAATGCTGAGGAGGAATTTGTCAGCCTGTGCCCTCCTCCGTAGTATGTTTCACATCAACCCAGTCTGCATTTGGGTACCTGCTCTGCACTTCGTGTGGAAGATATGGGATTTACTGGCTTATCACCTCCTCTAACTACCTCCTTTGTATTCTTCAGAGCAAAAAGTACCAAAAATTGTCAAGGTCCTGCCCAAAAGGGGTGAGAGGGACACCCTGTAAGCAGCATCTTCCCTCCTGGGCATCTGCTCAAGAGCCTTCCAGTTTGGCTCACCTTTTGAAGGTCTCAAGAAATAAAAGAAGAAATTTTACTATTCACAATCAAATTCAGAGTGGTCCAATGGTAGTAGGGTGCACATGGCACCAGCGACAGGCCCCAGCTACTCTACGCTGGCTACAGAATAGTAAAGGAAAAGGCCTCTGGGCTACATTTGCCCCCTCCTCAGAAAAGCCAGGAAACGGCAGAAGGGAACCTCTTACAGGCTGCAGCCACCCTACAACCACCAGCCAGTCAGCAGAGATCTCATCCACAATGCTTTTACCTTCTTTTTCCAATCTTAAAAGATTTGGTCAGAATTTATTCTGAACTACGGTATGGTTGGACACCACCAAGCTGACAATGTTACCAAGGAGAATGAGACATACAAAGGTGTTGGTTTCACAACAGTGTTCAGATGTTTCCAGATGCCAGGATTCTAACTCAACAGACATTTGGTCCACATCTGCTGCCACCAATTCATGGTTCAATGTGACATCCATGTCCCCCCGGCTACCAAGAGCAAAATACCTAGCTCTGGAGCTAGAACGTTAACTCTGCCAAACATACCCTCAGTGAACAGCGAAGTCTTTGCACATCGCACCTCCTCCTACAAACCCTGTCAAAACTTCCACTGACTCCCTGGGAGCAGAGCTAGGTACGCTGATTGTCCAATCCCACCATGCAGCTGAAAAGCAGCGTACACTGCACAGGGTTGTTCTTATTGCTCGACAAGATGGATGCCTACGTGAATAGTAAGAGGCCAGCAAATATGGATCACAGGTCTGCTTTGTTCTTTCTTTTTGTATGAAATATTGGCCTATAATTATGATTGACTGAGTGTACAAAAACGTACTGCAGTTTAAAGACGACATACTTTAGTACAATCAATAGGGAGAAAAAGTGCATCTTAAAATGTGGAGCCTTGCTTTTGAAACTCAGCATCCTTTCTAGAGTCTTGTGAGAACTTTAAGGCAGAGTTTCCTTTAGCAGACCACAATGCTGAAGACTTGGACAGCTTTCTCAGTGAGGTATCCAAACGAAGCCCTATAACTGAGGCATTGTGGGTTCTTGAGGGTCCATTTTCAGCTGGACATACACAATGGCTGTTAAGTAAAGGCACTGTAGTGTACAGCCTTAGGCAGTGTGTTATTGGCAGTAAGGAAGTGTAAGTTTAGTACATCACAGCAGATCCTATAGCAGGTTCCTAGAACAGAGAGGGACAAGAAAGAAAAAAAAAAAACCATGTGCTTTTCCCAAGAAAGGTTGGACCAGATGATCCTTGAGGTCCCTTCCAACCTGGTATTCTATGATTCTATGAGCGAAACACAAAACAAGCTTGCTGAAGCTTCTAGGGAGCCAGATCCTTCCTCTTCTCACCTCCCCACCTATTTTCCACGTATCTAGTGGCAGACTGCTTTGGGACTTTTTTCCCTTATCCCTCTATGGCTGCTATAGAAGAAATGATTGACAGCTGTCCAGTGAAGCCTATTTGTTCAAATCCTGCAGAGCCAACGCGTGGCCTATCTACCCCTTAAATTCCACCTAGGTAATCTTTGAACATTTCTCAAAAGTTAGTGGGATTCAACGTGACTCTCGCCTGCTGAGTTACAGTGTGCAGCTGTTTCTGTGAGAGTCTGGTTCAGAAGTCTGAATTGCAGGGGACCACTAATTTATTTTTTTAAAAAAAAAACAAGAGTAGCACATTCCTGGAGACCTGGCAGTCAGGGTACATTCACACAGGCTGACATTTAGGAGCCGCTATACTATGGTGTATAGTCAGACATCTTCCAGGACACTGGTCATATTTATTCAGAGCTGCCTCAGCGGTGTCTGTTCTTCTTCCTCAAACTATTAAGAGAAGTTTTGTGAAGATGCTGAAATGTAGCTGCCTACACAGATACCGGTATCTCCCTATTTACTGCTTTTAACAGCAATTTTAAAAACATTTGTTATGAGTTTACCATTAAGTCCTTGGCAGTGCTTTTCCTCTCTTTAGTTCTTTGTGTTAGAGATCCTTGAAGTATGAAGTTTCTGTTAAATGTCCTGACTGTGGTAACTGGAGAACCATCTGCTTTTTCACCTGGGAAAAATATAAAAAGGGGAGATTTTTCACATAACAGATTGAAGCATATATAACAATACTCCTGAAGAGTCATAGCTTCTAGAGAGATAAAACTTCCCCTAAGACATGTGAGGAAAGCTGGATTTAATTTAAATGAAAAAGAGCAGGCTGTGATACTCCAAATTTATATTAAAGTTTGAGGCCATGTCAATCAGTGGAATTATACAAGAGTAAAACAAGAGTAATGCAAGGTGAAGCAGGCCCTAGAATTGCCAGAGATATTGCACTGCAGGGTTAAAAAAAAAGAGAAAACATGAGAGAAAAAAGCACTTTATAAGGCCAATTCACAGCCATACCCTAACATACCAGCAACACTGCTGAGCCACATCATACGGCCTGAAATCAGCATATACAGGCTTTAAGAAAGCAACGGTGGGTTGTGGAGAGCGGCAACTTTTGGCAATTAAACACTGCGACTGCTTGGGCCTCACAAACTAACCCCAGGCACGCCGGAGCAGGGACATCCCTGCTGCAGGGCAAGTATTCAGCATTCCTCATTTGCTTTTCCCAGCCTTCTGCTTCTGCTCCTATTGATTTGCCACTGTCACAACTTCCACTGAAGTGGTGATGCTTTTTAATGTGACAAATGGGTATTTTATGTAATCCAAGTACAATGGGAAATGAAGAGGGTGGACATATTTAGGCTTTCTCTGTTCATTTTGTAACTTAATCTTTCCTCTGCTTTGCTGAACTGTACATTATATTGAACCTTATAAAGAGAGAGACTCTCTCTCTATAATGTAACAACTTAAGTGCACCTTTTATTGGTGGAGCTGGAAGTTTTCTCCTCTGCTGTCTTGATGTGTCTATTGTATGCATCTGTAAACAACACATGTGCATTACTCAACTCCATTACAGAAAAAGAGGCAAGATTTCCCCAATGTATTTTTGAATACTACATAATGTTCTGGCACCTGGTTTGTTTGCTTTTGATCCCGTTTCCTTGTCAGGCGAACACATGGAGCCACGTTCAAGCCTGCAACAGTGAGAGCTGATATTCTGCTCTCAATATCTGAAATCTTCAAAGAAAATAAAAGAGAGAGACAGACAGATGGGGAGGGGGAAAAAGAAGTTTTAAAATTACTACGGATGCCACTACTAAAATATACCCCTCCCCCAGTCAAATCCTCTTTAATCAAATAATGTAAACAGATGGCTAACTTCTTCAGCAATTCTGACACTTTCCTGTACTCTTTAGTCCTGATGTAAAAAGGGGCTTAATTTGTTAGTAAAGATGGAGTAAAAGGACAATCTAACCTACCTTGTGACTCCAAGCAAGAGGCATTTTACTCCTTGTGAGGAAAAAAAGAAAGAAGAGAAAACCTGCATCTGCCATCTCCCAGTTACCTTTAGCTGTATAATCCCAAGTTCATTCAAGCTGTGTTTTTGAAAGGTTACATTCAAAGAACAACTTTGTGGGACACATTTTCTAATTCAAAATTAATTTCATGCACACACAAAGTACATCCACCATCACAAAATCTAAACATTTAATCTTAAATATTTCTTATTTTTTAATTTTTGTTAAACACAAACATGCATAAATGCAGGTATGCATGATATAAGAACACTCAGTGGCAAACAAATTGCTAGGAAAAACAAAAGTCCAAGAGAGCAAACATCTGGAGGGGAAAGCAGGCTGATGTGAGATGAGTGGAAACAAATGTTGCCAAAAGGGAAAGAAGTGTCAGAGAAGTCAGACATACAACACGACTCCTGATTCGTGATGACACCTGAAGCTGTTTGCTCTGCAGAAAACCTTCCGTTGGCCTCTTTGTCATCCTCCTCACATAGCTTAGGCCTCTCTCCTCCTCACCTCTCACCCCCATTAACATATTTACTGTACAATAATAACCAAAGCAAACAAAACGTCACTGCCAGTTTGCCATCTAGTGCAGCAATGCACTTCTGACATCAGAGAGATGTCAGTCTCTCAGACCTTTGCTCAGTCCTAAATTGAGTATGCTCCTGCTGAGTAAAACCAGCAGGACTTCCCATTAAAGCCTGGCACAGGCAGGTCAGAGTTCCTCGCTTGGTACAAACTGGTCAGTGAAATCCTTGGCAGTGAGTTGCTCGCAGCGTTAGCCCCTTGAGGTCTGGCAGCGTTACCTTGTTCAGCTCCCAGCACCAGATCACAGTGTGTTCTTCTAAGACTCAGACTTTCTGGAGCCCACTAGAAAGATGCTAGATCGCAACCCACAAGAGCAATTGCTGGAATGTGTGCTGCTTAGCAGCTAAATCCCAAGGCAGGCTTGCAAGTGCTAGGCTCTCTGCTTGGCTCAGCAGCTGGCTGCTGCTGGCCTTTTTCGGTAGAACGGTACCGACACTGGCTTCTTTCGGGATGAGCTTTACAATCTGCTGATTAGCTAAACTGCCTAAGACTGCATTTGCAGTCTGACCACAGCCACGTGTGTGACACCACGTGAGCTGCCTGGCAGCGAGGAGCAGGTTCAGTATTAGTATTGCAGTAACAGGCTGTTGCACTCCCATGTCTGACAACAGGGAAGAAACGAATACACTACACCTGGCTGGGCTAAGTTACACATCTTAATTACATTTTGCTGAGCTCCTGTGATGCAGTCAGCATCCTTGGATCATCAGTCCACTGTGGTACAGAATAATATTGAAAGTAAGTGTGTGCAGACAACAGGTAAGCACTAGGCAAAGCAGTGTGAAACCTGCAGTCAGGGAGAAGCCGCTGTCCTCACCTGAAGCTCCGCGTGATGAACCTGGGCGGCTGCTGTGGCCACCTGATCCTCCAGATCAGCCAGCTCAGATTCTGCAGTAACACTGTTGATCTTGCGTGCGGCGTCTTCCAGGTTGGTCAGCTGCCCCTCCAGCCCGTACACCGTGCTGGCCGTCAGGTACACCTGCAGGGCCAAGGCAGGGAGAAGGGTCAGTGATTTCTGTTTTGTGGGCATGGAGGTTTGAGCAGGCTGCATCTTCCATGATACCTCTGAGCTTCACTCCTTGCTAACCTACTACAGGGAGACGTACCTGGCAATGCAAATTCATGGGGGAATAATCTGAAAACACACAGCCACAAAGAGAAGGGAGGCATGAGGTGGCTGCACTCCAAATTTCATAGGTGCTACAACGGTATTTCAAAACAGATCGTTCCAGATTCACCAGCAAAAAAAAAAAAAAGCTGAAAAGTTTGCTTTTTTATTTTTGATATTCAATTACATAACAAAACCCCTAAGTCTACAAGGGGAAGTCAACAGATCACACCTCATATAAAGCTGTGCTCATTGAAACACGCCTAATGCCTTCTAGCAATCAAATTTCTGTAAGAATAACTGTTATATAGTTATAACATGTAGTTATTAATTTCTTGTAGAGTAACTGTGCTTAAATGTACAACATAGTTTTCCATCCCATCTTGCTCTCAGCCAAAACCTTCCTGCCTCCTGGCCCTTTGGAGTGAATCTGTGGAGGGTCTTATCTGGGCCACGTAAGACAGAATAACAGACTTTATCATTTAGAGATCTTCCCTAAAAACAGACAACCTGAAATATTTTGACCTACCTACGATACCTCTGATAACTGCACGTAAAGGTTTCGTTTCCCATTCAGCTCCTCAGAGCAATAATTCATGATACACTGTTTTTAACCTGTTTCTTTTATTTCACATAGAAATCAAAGGTACAGGGCCAGATGAAGGTCTCTGGTTTATAGAAAAGGGTAATTTTTCAAGCATTGGCTTTTGACATCTGTGCTTAAAATCGCGCAGACCCATGTGCACTTTCTGCCTGTTTACCAGACAGCCAAGAGACTGTTTCCATGATGCTGGTAACAGCACAGTGGAAATGAAATCTATATTCTGATTCTACCCACTGGCAGCCTCACTCAAATAGCAGTAAAGACTGCGGTGCTGCAAAACTAGCATGAATTAAACAAGTTCTGTGGCTGACTTCATGGTTACAAGGTGAAAGCAAACAGGATCTAAAACAGATCCTTGACCAGATACCGTCACTTTATATGTTTTCCACTCAAGTCATTATATCTGACCACAATTCCTAGATCATGTTGATCATGGAATCCGTTGTATGTATCCATTGACATAACAGGTATTCAAATAATTTCTGGCTATGGTTTGACTTTATGGATCAAAAGTGGTGCAGAATTACTAGGTTAAGACTTAAGTAAGTGTTTCCATTTTATTATTTTTTATTTTATTACTGTTTCCTACTTGCTTGCAATAAGTTTTTTTTCCTTTGTATCAGTTGTTTCAAGGCATAAATGTAGATACATTTTTTTCACATATGTGACTTTGCTAAGAAACAAATTCACTGTATCTTGTATGAACTGCATCTTGTAAGACCACAGTCTAACTGCAGGCATGAGATCTTTGAAAAATCTAACTAGAACAAATAAGTGATCTGGTTTAACATCATCTTTGCTGAAGTACTCAGAGACACAGGTGGGCCATAAAGTTAACACGCTGATTTAAATAGAAAGGCTGCTGCTTTTGTGGGTTTTAATTATTTTTTCTGTTCATTTAAATGATACATCCTTGTGGTGGGACATACCACAGACACTTCAGATTAAAAGGTGATTTTTAAAATTTCCATATCATGTCTGAAAGCTCAGAGAAAGAACAAAAAGGAGCATTATGAACAGAAACACCTTTAGAAAGTTAAAGAAAAGATGTATTTAAATGCTGTGCCAAAATTCTCTACACAGTAAGTTATACTTTTCAAGAGGGGGAAAAAAAAATCTAACGAAAATAGGACTGACAGAAAAATGCGGGAAGGGAAAGTCATCATGTTTTCGTAGCTCCATCAGCCCCTACATTTCTTAAATTTTAATTTTATTGAACATTTTCCCGCTAGATCGGCATAAAAGATTTTTCTAAATAATATTCTCTTTACCTGAACAATCATTGCACTTCCAAACAGCAAAGGCATACTTGCAGGTCTCTGCTAAATCATGCCCTTATGCATACATTCACATTCAGATAGTGGAGACTTATTTTACCATCATTTAGGTATGCACAGCTTCCACTAAGACTCACCTGACCTTGTGCAGTTATAGGTGGCCCTACATTCTCCACACTGATACATGCACAGTTCCCGAAATGATAGAGAGCCCAAAAATGAACAGTATCTATATACACCCAGAACCTCTCCCAAAATTTGATGTAAAGAGGATAAGCTGTATGCAGATGTGCCCCCAGGTGCACTGAGAAAAGGTACGGATTCCTGCATTTGGAAAGGCGCTCTAACTCTACTATGGAGTATGGTGGTGAAATCTTGAAACCACGAATTTTTGCCATCTACTTTATATCTTGGTGTGGGGCAGAGAAAGAGGTAGTGTGGGACACAGTGAGGCTGAGCTGGATACCTTATGACCTATGCAGGGAACTGAGAGAAGCTAAACCAGACATATGCTGCAGAGGGCAACACCACAGCAAGAAATGCTCTGCCTCAGTGCCCAGTCTCTGCTCAGTCCGAACGAATGACTAGGGGCCATGGCACCACAGATGCCAGAGCTCCACAAGGACAGGAGGGATTGTTGGAGTGCAACTGGGAAAACAAATGCACCTTCAGACAGTTTACAACACAGTTCACCACAGAACAAATGTGGAGGCAACTCTCCCCAAATTGCTCTCTGTCCTCCTGAGGAATTTCTTAGTTTTTCTAAAGATGTGGTCCAGCCTGGACTTGGATTTTTGTTCTGTATTCTCTCTCCTGCCAGATGCATTCTGTGGTGTTTGGAGCTAGGACACTTTAGTATTTCATGGGAGAGAAAATCTCCACCTACTTATCTACTTCTATTGTTCTGAAAAAAACCAAACCAAACAACTAGTAGTTGTTGTGGAGGTACATCTGTCATACAAGTATGAAATGGGTATCATGGTAGGTGGTATGAGGAAAGCACTTTGCTCACCACAAGCTCAAGTTACACCCTTCTCCAGGCACTACAGCAGCAACTGCTACAGGAAGCATTTACTACTCTGCAGAGGGCCATATCTGAGCTGCCACGTGTCCAGCGTCTCCTGGTCACACCCTCCTCTCTCGCCCCCTCAGCCCCGCTGGGGAGGACTCCCAAACCTATTTTGCTTGTTTGTTTTGATTTCCCCTCCCAGGCAAGAGCCAGGAGCATGGCTGACGTGTGGAAAGCCCATGGTGGGGCAAGTTCAGGTGGCTGTGGTGCTGCATGATGGAGGGCAGGAGACTCCAGCAACCAGGACAGCGTGTGGGAGTGAGGAGGAGCAGGAGAACTTCATCTGGCACAGCAGGATGCCTGGGAAGGCTGAGCAGAGGTGGGAAGGAGAGGTTTGGAGGTCAGGTTACAACTGGGAGCTGCTTGGGAAGGAGTGAAGCTGCTCTGAGGCGGGTTGGAGGGCATCCTGTTGGTGTGGGCAGGGGGAAAGGTCTGAGATGGAAAAGGTTTTGGAGCAGGTGAGGTTAGGAGGGGTAGGATCTCGTTTGGAAACCTCTGAACCAAAGCAGGGCTGGGAGATTTGAGCTCAGAATTGGTGTGGTGAGCGGGACTGAGGAGTTATGGGACTGGTGGGAAGTCCTCTGGAGTAGGACAGGCCCAGTGCCAGGACTGGCCGTTATTGCCGTGGATTATCTCCCACTCGTCCCCAGCCTGGGGCTGTTGTGGAAGTGTGTTTCTGTGCAGGAAACTGATTTTATCCCCAATAAGAGAGTCTGTCTGAAAATTTTCTGGGGCTAAAGAAAATGAGGATCTATTTTCTTAAATTGATCGGGATGTTATAATGCCACAGCTCAGATTCCTACAAGGTCTTTAAGAGCTCCTACTGAAGGGAAAAATTGCTGAAATGTAATCAGTTAAATGTGGGAAGAAGAGAAAATCGAAAGTTACAAGTGTACCAACTCTGTTAAGTGGATGCATAAAAATTTCCAGTGAGTAGTGACTTCCCTCTATGATTCAGCATTGCACTTTTTCCTGCAGATGACAGGCACTCATAAAAAGGGATGGATGATTCAGATGTCGCCAAACAAATGTTTGTTTAATTCAGCTTCTCCAGCCTGCTCTTTTTAACAGTGCAGCAGGCAGCTCTGGCTCCTTGGGTGCTCAGTGCAGTATGCTGGGCATGCGTGGGTGGAGGAAAAGCTCCTCTAC